TTCCTTGTTCCACTTCTTCGAAAACATCACAGGAACCAACTTCTGTATTTATACGAAATACATATTTCTTCAAAATGTCTAATTTTAAAATGGGAAAGTCATCTTAAATTCACAAACTATTAATTACAGTGGAATATAAGCTTTTTTTATTGGAGGGAAGGAAGATCTAAAACTCAGGGCTGTTTTTCTTTTGGCTAAACAGTATACGGACTCAGTCTTCCTTGGCTTCATGCAGTTTCTATTTCTATAAAAATTCACATATAAATAATTCATAATGCTTTTTTGCAATGAAGTTCTACACAATGTGGTTTTACATCTTCAAAAAAGCTGCTAGGCCACAAATCTTCTCATTAACTTGTTAATAGGTTGTGTTTTCATGCTACCTGAGAACCAGGGGAGGCTTTTTCTTCTGTTTTCAAAATCGATATTTAGAAGAATATTAGGACTCTTTACGTATAAAGACAAATATGACTCTTCAGTCAGCATGAAAACCAAGCATTTCTCCCTTCATGCTGGAGGAAAAAATTGGATTGTCTTTCTTCCAGTAGGCCATTCACACTTATTCATGAAACCCATTGTCTCCTATGATACCAGAAGACCTATTCAATACATGCTAGGATAAAACAAGTAGATTCTGACTATTAAGTGTTTAAGCTAAAACTCTAATGCAGATACTGTACATATATGGAGCTTTTCCTCTACCTAATCCTGAAATGCCAGTTACCTTGGGAAGCGCCAATTCTTATTGAAATTAAGAATTGATTGATTTACCTTCTGCCAAATTCTTACTCTTTCCCCAGTTACAAAGTTGTCATATAATTTTTCATTTGCTAAAAAAAGCTCTAGAGTAGTAATGCTACATAAGCTTTCATTCACCATGGACATCTGAATATCTTATTAAAGCATATCATGATTGAGCCATTTAAATAATGTAACTTTTCAAATTTAAATAGTGTATATTTTTTTAAAAGTGTTCTTTTAAGAGAATTAGACATTTTCTTCCATGAAAATTGAACTCATACTTATTAGTAGTAGGAACAAAAGACATTTTGCAGCTCATTTTTCATCCCTTAACAGATTTGTGTATAGGTAACCCTCAAATTATGACTGTAATGGAGCTTGTCCATCACAGCTGTAATTCCTGACAGTTCTAAAATAGGTTGGTCTTGTGACAGACTCAATTTTCAACTTTTTTGTGGCAGTTAAGTGAATCACTGCAGCCATTAATAGAATCCACAAATGTCAAGCAAACCAATGGTTCACTATGGGCACAGTTTTGCTAAAAACCAGAAGTAAATGCAGGTTTTTAACAAAACTGTTGTAACCATAGCCTCATGACCATGGGACACTGTAAACACCTGTAAATGCAGCCCTGTTGCCAAACACCTGAAGTATAGTCATGTGACCACAGATGAGGCAACCATCAGAACTTTGAATCTAGAAGCAACCTAGAACTAAGGAGAAATTTCCTGGCAGAACAATTAATCAGTGGAACAACCTGAAGTTGTGAATGCTCCAACACTGGAAGTTTTTAAGAAGAGACTGGACAGCCATTTGTCTGAAATGGTATAGGGTTTCCTGCCTGAGCAGGAGGTTGAACTAGATGACCTCCAAAGTCCCTTCCACACAATCATCATCATCATCATCATCATCATCATTACAACTGCAATGATTCACTTAACAACTGGTCATAAAATAGGGGAAATGATTCACTTAACAAATATTTTGCTTAGCAACAGAAATTTTGGGCTTAATTGTGGTCTTAAGTCAAGGACTACCTGTATATGGATGGCAATTACCTCTGCCCCAACTCCCAACTGTTTGCTTTCTGAATTGCCTCACCTCATCCCACTACTATTAATATTATTACTATTACTATTAGTAGTAGTAGTATCTGAGTTATAAATACTCCTCACATAGGTCCGCAGAAGTTCAACCAGTCATTAAATGAATGGTAGTTAGCTGAGAAGACATCAGAAATGTTATTAATGGAAAGGAGCAGTAAGATCTATAGTTTTATAAAGAACACAATAGGAATTTATACAACTAAAGTATTGCCTAATAGCAGAGTCAAGTACAAGTCTAATTTAGTAATTATGATTTAATGGAAGCGAAATTTCTACATAGTCAACACACACAGTATGCTCTTCCATACAATGTTGGACTGTATTTCCCATTATTCCTTAACATCTGAAGAAGTTGCATATTGTCCATTCCTGACATATATTTCTGAACTATGTTCAGATCCCCTCTAAAAAAACCCAGCCAGATACATATCTATAAATCCATTCAGAAGTATAAATGCATGCATATTGAACTTAAAACTCATTTAAAAAAACCCAGCCAGATACATATCTATAAATCCATTCAGAAATATAAATGCATGCATATTGAACTTAAAACTCATTTTAATTCCAAGTGAAAAATTTATGAACCACCTCTTCCAAAAGTAATTTATCTTACATAATCAACAATTTGTGGTCACATTTTTGACCTAAATGGTATTATCTGAGCTCAAAATCAAAAGGATTTATCCTTCGTGCCATAGTTTAAATAATTTAAACTTAGTGAAACAAAATGCTTTTGCATAATACTGAATTTAAACTGTGTACTTTTTGAACTGCAAAAATTGCGTTGATAGCAATTCCAATGTATCAACTATATGACTATTGCTATAATTAATTGAACACTAGTGTTTTGCATTTGAAATATTGTAGCAGAGCAGCCAACAATGTATTACTTATAGTTTCCAAAAGTAATTGAGAAACTTCTTTAAAACTTCTCTGGTTTATTGTACTCAGTTCTTCATTGTATAGAACTATTGGAAACGCTCAGCATATTCAACACAATGCACATTCTCCAAACCAATTTCACTCAAGTATATCAATGAAATTATAGGTGCTTCATTTCAAAACCCACTTTTTTAATTTCCAATGCAAGACATTCTTGAGCTTTGTAAAACAAACAGCACAGGAACACTTCAGAAACAATGAAAGCTGAAACACAGTTTTTGAACATACTGTACTATATAAAGTGATTTAATCCACAGTTAATTGTTCTTTTTCACAACTAATTTACAGGAACATAATAGATAAATCAACCCTGAAGCTCAAACAAATCTGCAAATCTTTTAAGTTTCCAGTAGCATTTCCCCCCACGTCAGTTTGCCCAGTATTAGTCTCATGATGCAATGTTTGAAGGAGAATATTTGTAGCTCAGGGCTGAAATGGGTTAGCACTAATGATGTTACCTGGTTAGGGTAATGAAACATCTGCAAGAAAACAAGCAAGCCCGGAGAGCAATGCAATCTTTATCATATTTGGAAAAAAGCTAATTAGTTACTAAAAAACTAACATTAAATGAAAGATGAGAGCCAGTTTGATCTAGAAATTAAGGCACTGGACTAGATGCCAGGAGACTGTGGGTTCTAATCCTGCCTTAAGCATGAAACAAGGCTGGGTGACATTGGGCCAGTCACTCTCTCTTACCCAATCCACTTCTGAGGATTGTTGTTGTGGGGAAAATAGTAGGAAAAAGGATTATTATGTATGTCCATTGCCTTGAGTTACTTATAAAATAATAAAAGATGGGATTTTAAAAAAATTAAATAAGTAAATAGTATACATAGAAAATTTCCCTTCAGTTCAATTATTTAACACATCAGCAAAAGGGGTGCTATGTTCTTTAGTTCACTTAATTTGTTAAAGCAGAAATTGGAATAATATGTATTACTTTGATAATTGGGTAAGTATACATTTCACTTCTTTATCGCACTGCGAATAAAGCATAACCATTACATGAATTAGATATGCTATGGAAACAAACAATAGAAAACAAAAATATTGTTGGAAATTCCACTATTCAAATTTTTTTTATATAAATGCTTTCTTATAAATAAATAATGTGCATGCTTTCCTCTGAATGTAATGGTGGAATTTGTCAGGAAGGTTTGGTGTTAAACTGCTAAGTCTATTCACTGCTCTAAATTGTTCACAAGGAAAAAAAAGCTATCAAAGTGTATTATTTTACATGCACATGAATGAACTATAATTCAAATGGATTAGCTATCTGTACTTGTCGTGCTTTGTATATAAGTAGGAGGAATAAACAAGGACAAAAAGCAGCTTATTCACCTGCTACTACAATAATATACCTACAGTTATATATTGATCACAAATACAACCTAAAAGGCATAGCAAATGAAAATGTAAGAATCAACGTAGACAATACTTTAAAATATAAAGTCACAAAAATCAAAATTCCAGCATTTCTCACTTAATAATTTTATTGCATTTATGTGCATTTTATGAACAAAATAGCAATTTATGAACTAAAGGAAACTGATAAACAGAGTAAAAAGATTTTAAACATTTACAAATCCAACTGAATATAACTTACCAGGGACTAAACCCCATTCAACCCCCAGGGACATATTCCAAAGCATGCATTGGATTGGCTGTACAATATTATCTCTATTTAAAGTTATTCTGTCAACAAAGTATTGAAAAGCATGAATCATGCATATGACAACTAAAAGCTTAACAACTCAGTTTTATAAATCATGTTCTTTTTTACAAGGCTGAAATATTGTTTTTATGAGAGAACAAGTACTTTCCTTCAAATTAGCTATCAATTTAGTTGTGAGCTACGTTTTAAAAGTGCAAAATAAAAAAAAATATCCTTAACTGATACTTAGTTCAGTTCTGCAAAATACCATCTACTTTTTTTTACTTATTCATATGCCTGTTATTCAGAGCTGGGCAGAGACAGATTGTATGGAATAGCACCCGTGATATTTCTGGTGGACTGGTTAATTTTTGCAAAGGCAGCACTTGCATCATCAACAGAGCTAAAAAACATGTAATGGTTTATACCTGGTAAGAATAATATTAAACGTCACGTCACACATAATTATATATCAAACACTACAAAGTAAATTACTCAAAAGCTAAAAACACTATTCAAAAATTGTGAAAATGGTTAAAATACAATCAACTCACCAAAAGAATCAATACATGTATCAATAAGTTCATCTAGGCTGACTCCCTTGCTTAAGTGTCCCAACGACATCATTATGCAGAATTGAGTAGTTTCAGCAAGATCTGAAGATCAGTAGCTACCTTTGGATCAATGCTGCATCTTTGAAGCGTTCCTAAAGAAAGAACAGGGAGAGAACACCAGTCACATGATAGAATAACATTTCACAAAAGCCTCTGCAGCAGGTTATAAAATACAACAGTTGCCAGGATCACAGGAACTGGGTTATTGAAACAGTCCCTTCCCACTTAATGCATCAAAGGTTCCATGGAAGATATTTCCTTCCATAAATATATCATTAGTCCATGTTTTCTAAAGAGCCACATGTGGTTCTTATGGCATACAAAGCTCTCTATTATTATACAACCATCAGTAATCTTTATCCATTTTCTTTAAGTCTTTAAGCATACACAAGAAACCGTAAGAAAATGAAGAAGCAATGAGTAACTAAAATCATAGCTTGCATATATTAGAATGCATACATTGCACTAAGTCATAGTCCCTTGACCTATGAACAAATAAGAAATCACATTTTTATTTCTTTAGATAATATACTAAAGCATAAAATATCATAATAACTAACTTCATACAAATTTGCAGATGACACCAAGCTGGCAGGAATAGCCAACACTCGAGAAGACAGGCTTAGGATACAGGAGGATCTGGACGGACTTGAACATTGGGTACTATCTAACAAAATGAAATTCAATGGTGAAAAAAGTAAGGTTCTACCTTTGGGCAAAAAACCCAAATGCACAGGTACAGTATAGGAGGTACCTTGCTTAATGGTAGTAACTGTGAGAGGGATCTTGAAATCCTAATGGACAATCACTTAATTATGAACCAACAGTGTGCTGCAGCTGCCACAAAAAAAAAAAAAAAACCAACACAGTGCTAAGCTGCATTAACAGAGGGATAGAATCAAGATCATGTGAAGTGTTAATACCACTTTATAATGCTTTGGTAAGGGCACACTTGCAATACTGCATCCAGCTTTGGTCACCACGATATAAAAAAGATGTTGTGACTCTAGAACAGAGGCAGGCAACCTTGGCTCTTTTATGACTCGTGGACATCAACTCCCAGAATTCCTGAGCCAGCCATACTGGCTCAGGAATTCTGGGAGTTGAAGTCCACGAGTCATAAAAGAGCCAAGGTTGCCTACCCCTGCTCTAGAAGGAGTACAGAGAAGAGCAACAAAGATGATTGCAGGACTGGAGGCTAAAACATGTAAAGAACAGTTGCTGGAATTGGGTATGTCTAGTTTAATGAAGAGAAGGATGAGGAGGGACATGATAGCAGTGTTCCAATATCTCAGGGGTTGCCACAAAGAAGAGGGAGTTAAGCTATTCTCCAAAGCACTGGAAGGCAGGACAAGAAGCAACGGATGGAAACTAACCAAAGAAAGAAGCAACCTAGAACTAAGGGGAAATTTTTCTGACAGTTAGAACAATTAATCACTGGAACAACCTGCCCCTAGAATGTTATGAATGCTCCAACACTGGAAGTTTTTAAGAAGAGACTGGACAACCATTTGTCTGAAATGGTATAGGGTTACCTGCCTGAGCAGGGGGTTGGACTAGAAGACCTTGAAGGTCCTTTCCAACTCTATTATTATCATTATTATTATTGTTGTTGTTGTTGTTAAAACTAAATCAAGCACATTATGATTTAACATATGGTATGAACTAATACAGAACCATAGAACTGGAGCAATTTCATTTCCAAGTAGCCCTCGACTTATGACTGTAATGGAGCCTGCAATTTTGGTCATAAGTTGTAATGGGGTCATCACATGATCACACCCAATTTTATGACCTTTTTTACAGCAGTCATTAAGCAAACATAGTGGTTGTAAATCAAACACGTTCATCATTAACCGAACCCAATGCTCGCTATGGGACATTTTTTGCCAGAAACCGGAAGTAAACACAGTTTTCTGGAAAAACATCATAAATTGACTGTAAATGCTACAAAAGGCCATGAATGTGGGCTGGTTACCAAGTGGAAATGGGAAGTCAAATTCAAAATCCATTGTAACTTTGAATGGTCACTATCTGATCAGTCATAAGTTGAAGATTACCTGTACTGTAGTTCAACTTCTTGCCTTTAAAGGAAACCATTGCTATAGAATCCTTGAAAGGCACTCAACATTGTACTTAAAAGCCTCCAGTAATGAAAAATCCATCTCTGTCTGCTTTTGAATAAACTGTACTATACTACCAACACTCCCCCTCTTTTAACATCTGATCCTGTTGGTTCAGATCTCATGGTTCACATTAAACGAAAAGATCCAATTTCTCTAAATAAATTAAGATATGGGTTGGACTGTGTGGTCTGAATCTTTCCTAATGTTGTAATCTTCTTAATATTCCTACAGAATAATAATATACAAGCAAAATAACCAATAATGGGTGGTCTTCAACTTACGACCACAATGGAGCCCAAAATGTATGTTGCTAAGCGAGAAATTTATTAAATGAGTTTTGCCCCATTTTACAACTTTTCTCGCTACATTTAAGTGAATCACTGCAGTTCTTAAATTAGTAACACTGTTATTAATTAGTGAATTTGGTTTCCCCATTGACTTTGTTTGTCATAAGGTCGCAAAAGGGGATCCCATGACACCGAGACACTGCAACTGTCATAAATATGAGTCAGTTGTCAAGCATCCAACTGTAAATCACCTGACTTGGGGATGCTGCAATTGTCATAAGTGGAAAAAAATGGTCATAAATCACTATTTTGAGTGCCATTATAACTTTGAATGAACTGTTGTAAGTCGAGGACTACCTATATAGGATAAAACAGACATAAATTATGAGGACATTTACTTATATTTATTTACTTATGTCTAGTAACCACAAAAATACAGTTAAGTCAAATGTATCTATGAGCAGGAAGCTCAGATGAAACTCAGCTATGTTGACAAGATTCAGAGTCACAGAGATGGGAAACTATCCTTGATGTCTCTCTCAAAAGATGTTTTGTCCAAAAGGCAACTAAACTTTCTTGGGTTTTTTTCTTTCAAAACATTTCACTTCTGAAGAAGCTTCTTGGATGACAAATGAAACATTTTGAAAGAAAAAAAACAAAAATGTCTAGTTGCCTTTTGGAAAAAGCACCTTTGGGACAGACATGATTGAGAATATCTATAGACATTGTCCTTAATGGGGAAAATGAACAGGCAAACAAGCCTGACTTGTTTCACAAATAGTGAATAAAATCCAGATGACAGAAGAGAATAGAGCTGGAGGGACCTTGGAAGTCTTCTAGTCCAGCCTCCTGCTCAAACAAGAGGACCTATACCATCTCAGATAAGTGACTATGTAGCCCCGTGGTGGCGAACCTATGGCATGCGTGCCACAGGTGGCATGCAGAGCCCTCTCTGTGGGCACGTGCGCCATCGCCCCAGACCTAGGCCTTCACCTGGGTTTTATAAAATCTTTTCACTTTAGGCCTCCGTCGCTGTGTGCAAAAAAAAAAAAGTTCGATCAATCAATTTCAACTTCTTGCGAAAAAAAAAAAAGATCTCGCAAAGTTAGAATTGAACTTTTTAGTCCCACCCAGTCTGCCGTTACCACCGCAGCCACACCCACCCAATGGGCCACACCCACCCAATGAGCATCCGATGATACATAAGTGGGTTTTGGGTTGCAGTTTGGGTACTCGGTCTCTAAAAGGTTCGCCATCACTGGTCTAGCCTTTTAAAAATCTCCAGTGATGGAGCGCCCACGATTTCTGGAGGCAAGCTGTTCCACTGGTTAATTGTCCTCACTATCAGGAAGTTTCTCCTTAATTCCAGGTTGCTTCTCTCTTTGATCAGTTTCCAGCCATTATTTATTGTCCTTCTCTCTGGTGCTTTGATGAATAACATGACCCCCTCTTCTTGATGGCAGCCCCTCAAATACTGGAATACTGCTATCATATCTCCCCCATTTCTTCTCTTTATGTTCTTTATGATCTCTTTATGCCATGAACTCTCACAGTATGTTGAAACCTCGCTTATTAAAACAGGTAATAAGCAACTGATTACTTCCCTATATGCAAGACATATGGCTGCACAGTTACCCACGTATTTCAGGTCTGGCACAAGATTTATTCAATTCCGTATTTCTTAGTTATTGGCAGAAAAATTCAAATAATCTTCCTTATAAACTGAGCTGAAGGGAGAATATTTTGGTGAAAGGATAAAGAACCCCCATCCAGAAATGTTGGTAAGACATCCGCAATTCGCATTCAACTCTTAGTGACATCCATACAATTTTTTTGGCAATATCACAGACTTGGATTTTTTTTTTTGTTTGCTATTGTCTTCTTCAAGGCTGTTTATGTAACTTCCCACAATAACCTATACCAATCAGTCATCCAACTATTCCAGGGTTGACCGTGTTTAGCTTCAGAGATCAGCAAAAGTCAGCTAGGCCATCTTCTATTGGGAAATCTTTAAAAGAAAGAGTATTTCACAAGATTCTAAACATTCTTTCTAGTTTGTAGCACAATAATTTGAGGAATGCTCATTTTAGTGAGTACTTATCTGTGTTTTACAAGGACTATTATTATACTGCAGTTCTTACTGTCTTTTTAAATGCTGATGGTTTATTGTTTATGCAATTTACTACATATTGTAGTTTTAGTAACTTCATTCTATTATATTTTAGATACATTATTCTATTTTAACATAGGGCCATCATCTAGAAGGCCATTATTAGTTTTCAAAAATTAATTAATTAATAATTGATCAAATCACCAGGCACTGACAGATAACTCATTTTCATAAGAATTGCCATAGGAGTGCAATTCCAACATTTGGTATACTATAGTAATTACACTAATACCAAATATGTATACACGTTTTGAATCAGGCATCAGTTACAGAAAGAGCTGGGATACTGAATGCAGAGGAGAGGAGCTCATAAACTCTACAGAATTATTTATTACAGTGTTTTTGGTGGGAGCCAAGTCAATGTTTATGTTAATGTGTCCTTCTGAGTGGAAAATTTGCACACAAAGAACAACCAAATTTTTAGCGACATGCTTAGAAATTCTAGAAGGTTTTGCATGGCTAGTTATAAGAGAGAGGGCAAAAACACCCGTGATAATACACATTACCCTCTGTTCTAAAATGCTGGGAACTGAGCTTGGTGTATGTGTATCCATGTGTGTTCACAAAGGGTAAATTTAGTAGCATGTCCTCCCCATATTTTGTAAGGATCAAACAAGTTTCTCCTAAAACTTGTGTAGGAGTTTTAGCTATCTCTGATGTGTCTATTAAGGAAAGTATTTATTTCCTCCATTTCCTATCTTAAGCTCCTATTGGGGAGGGGGGGGGAACTGAAGAACACATTGGCAAACAACTGCTCAGGGATGTCTTCAGAGGAACTCAAAAGCTCACGTTCATGTTCGCATGTTTATTTTGTTAGTTACATTATTGCCCGATAGACTGCAGAGACTGCCAAGTTAGAAAAAAATAGATATCACATTTTGTCTTCCACTTGCTATACCTTTTTAAGTCCCTCCTTACAAGCCAAATGTGTTTCATCCCAATATCTGTTTAAATGTAAACCCACACAGTGAAGGATACATTCCATAGGACACACCAGAGCAGTGTTTCTCAACCCTAGCAATTTTAAAATGTGTGGACTTCAGTTTCCAGAATTTCCTAGTCAGCATGCTTTAGTCCTTTCCCCCTCAGGACTAACTTGTCTTGTCATTGCACTCCTTTCTTCAAGATTATGGCTTATTTGTCCCCTATCTCCTCTACTACCCTCTTTTACTCTTTTCAAAAAGATTATCATAGCATATCATTCAGCTCATTAACAAGCCCTTAGCAACCCTTAAACTTACCCTTTCTTGGCACATCTGCCCATTGTTTTCCATCTTCTGAATCTTTATGAGCTCAACATATTTACCTGCTAAAACAGTGGTTCTCAACCTGTGGGTCGGGACCCCATTTGGGGTCGAACGACCATTTCACGGGGGTCGCCAAACAACGTAGTCCGCCATTTTTTCCCCTTTTCCTTAGCTATGCTACTCCCTTTTATTCTATTGGCTTTTGAAAGTCAATAGAATAGACTCTCTTGAATAGAATACTAATTCTATTGCTTTCAAAAGCCAATAGGAATTGTCTAGGCTGTCTCTGCCCTGCTGAGCCCACCAAAAGTCCCATTCTGCAAACGGTGCTGCACCAGTTGAGTAGTCCTCGACTTACGACCGGTTGAGTAGTCCTCAACTTATGACCGGTTGGGGGTCGCGGCATTAAAAAGGTTGAGAACCACTGTGCTAAAAGCTATCCTTGCCGCAATCATTCCCATGAGAATTAACATTTGAGCAAACTAAACAACTGGAGACAAGCACATTGTGGGAACCCAGCACAGGTAGCTTATGAAAACTTGGATAATTGGTCAATTGAGTAAGCCATGATCAAGTTAACCATGGCTAGTTATGCTGTGTGAACTCAGTTACTGACATAGCCTCTTCCAGAAAATCAACATTCCTTATTGAAATGTTTTAAAAAGTGATATATAGCAACAATTGTTTCTAGATTTCATAAAGAGCATCTACATTTTAGCACTGATAAAAATACAAAAAAATGACATTAAAAGGAAGTATTTTTCCATTAAGTATTGAGGAGTCTTTTACATCTAGCTCCCAAATAATATTCAAAACCTTTAAACCTGTTTTAGAGTAATGAATACAGAACTTTATTACAGGTGTATCCCCATGACAAGTTAGCACAGCAGTGCAAACTTTTTCAGAGGTTTTTTTTTATTTTCCCAGATGTGTTGAACAACAGCTACCGGTATTATTGCTTCCTGTCAATACGGCCATACCAGCTAGTTAGATTCTTGCGGTCCTAGAATCAGAAAGCCTCCTTAAAGAAGATGTAATGGGACAGCCTAGCAGAAATTAGGCATTCTTCCTATTTGGTTTTTGAAAATTACAATTATTAAAAATTCTACCATATAGAGCACACTCAATACCAACCGTTCAAAAATAGTGTGAACAGAGAAAGGTGGATCTTGTCTGATGACTGCTTGCTCCCGGATCAGACTTCCCATCGGCAGCTAAACTCCCATCTGGTTGTATAAAAGACGCCCATTCCCAAAATCAACACGGGACGCCAAGTGGGAAGAGCCGCGCTGACCAATGAAGAAATGAAGGAACTACTACCGAAACGACGCGGAGGGAGCGGGGGGGGGGGCAATTAAGACAAACAAACTTACCGGCTCCGACTCGTGTTTTTTCGCTTCAGCCTCGTTGGATCGGCCGAAGAACCACGCCCAGCACAGCACGTCCGAAGCCAGGATGGACCTGCCGGTGCATTCCTGCCTCTCGCCGTCAGAACCGCTCGAGCCACCGCTGGAGCGCGGAGAGCCGAGCTAGGTCAGGCAGACCGCCGAGGGGGCGGAACCGACGACAACTTTGCAAGCACGAGGAAGTAGCTGAGCGGTTCGACCCCGGCCCGACGTCTCAGATTTTCCTCGTGCGCGCGACTCTCCGAACCGCTCGAGGCGGAAGCGCCCACCACGTGTCTCGGCCGCCTGGCTTTCTTGAGCGTCGCCAGGTGCCCCTCCAGCCTAAAGGCGCTCGCGCTCGGCCCGGAAAAAGAAGGGCGCTTTGCCCGCCAAGCGGCGCGGCTTCAACGCCGGAGTTTCTGCCTGCCGACTGGTGGTTTTTTTTTTTTCCAGAGCCACTGTTAAGAGGTGGGAAAAAGCAGTGCTTGGGGTGATACCGATGTTGGCATACCGGTTCTCCACGTCACGCCTTCTCTACTCTAAAACAAAAGCAGTCCCAAATCGTGTTGCCGTTCTTAAATATCCGAAAAAAAGCGCGTGTAATGTAATCTTGGAAAAACCAAGGCCTGCCCTTTCAATTTCAGGTTGCTTTATATTTTACAGCATATTTTAGCTACTTTTGTTTCTTTTTAGCTCATTCTTAGTTATGGTAAGTATGCTAGGTTTCAATAACTGTATTTGATTTTTATTAGGCTCATTAGCTATTTTTTTAAATATAGTCGTAACGTTAAAGTAAGATAAAACGGTGCAGGCAAACATTCTGAATGAATTTGAACAACATGGGAAAAAGAAATGACTGTGGCGTCATTCTGGGATTCCCCCCCCCCTTTTTTTTTTAATCAAATCTGCTAAATAGTCAAAGGCAGAAGAATATGTTTTACAAAAAGAATCTGTAAGTAAAACAATTTTTTCCTCTCACCTTTAACAAGTTTGAAGCCCTTGGATCACTTGAATGCTCCCTTCAAACAGAACTGAAAAAAAAAAAAAAAACAGCTGCTAGATTTTTCACTATCTGGCGGGGAAGAGCTAAATTAGAATCTGGATTCTCTCCCCATTTCTCGCTCTGTGTATAAGTTGCTAATTCACCTGCCAACCTCAAGGGACATTAAAAAATAAGTTTAAAAATAAGATGCAAAAGCAGAATACAGAGAGACTCCCACCAGAAAATTCAGTGGAATTTAGGGCAAAGCAAGGTGTTGTTATCTCATTATTTGTCAGCTATAAAATATGGTCTGGAATTCCTGAAAAAAAGACTTTGATGCTCTTGTTAAAAAAAGCATGATGCTGGACCTACCACCCACATTAAGACTATGCAGAAGCCCAGGTTAAGCCACATATTTCTGACATGTTCTCTGATAAAGGACAAGTTGTTAAAATAAAACTGACAAAACTGCAGAACAGTCAAAAGACTGTATTAATAAAGTCTTACTCCTTGACAAGGCAAAGAGTGGGGCTTCATACATACTAAACCAGAGGTGGGCAATTTTCCCAAAGGGTCACATGAGAACCTGGAGATGTTGTGGAGAGCTGCTGCCCCACTGCTGCCCTACCCCCCTGCTGCCCCTGTCCACTGCTGCTCCCCAAGGACCGGATATGGCTTGTGGGCCATAAAGTGCCCAGGTCTGTACTAAACCCACTTTTAGATATTAAAGAAGCAATTCCCTGCATATTGTTCAGTTTAGACACAACAAATTGCTCTCTGTATCTATTTGAACAGCCTTCATATTGGATGCTGGAATTCTAGGACAGTAATTATAACTTCCCTGGAACAACTTTTTCACAACACAGATATCTCCTATGACCGGATGCTCACCTAATCTCTATGTCAAAGAAAAACAAAGTCCAGTTGCCTCCTGAAAAGGTGCATTTGGGGCCCTGCAGCAATCAGCAATAATTGGCAGGAATTTAAATGCCAGAATTCAGATAAATGATTTCAGTTCAAGATCTTTCATGAGGTGAATAATATATCATGGTCGTCATGATATAAAAAAGATGTTGAGACTCTAAAAAGGGTGCAAAGAAGAGCAACAAAGATGATTAGGGAACTGGAAGCTAAAACATATGAATAGTTACAGGAATTGGATATGTCTAATTTAATGAAAAGAAGGATTAGGGATAACATGATAGTATTCTAATATCTAAGGGTCTGCCACAAAGAAGAAGGGGTCAACTTATTCTCCAAAGCATCTGAAGGCAGGACAAGAAGCAATGGATGGAAACTAATCAAGGAGAGAACTAACCTAGAATTAAGGAGAAATTTCCTGACAATTAGAACAATTAACCAGTGGAATGACTTGCCTCCAGAAGTTGTGGATGCTCCAGTACTGGAGATTTTAAGAAGAGATTGGACAACAATTTATCTAAAATGGTATAGATTTCCTGTTTGAGCAAGGGGTTGGACTAGAAGACCTCCAAGGTCCCTTCCAACTCTGTTATTCTGTTATTATTCTGAAGAATAAACAGTTTAATAAAGTTGTGCAGGTATCCATTTTGTTGGAAGAGGTTGTTTATATGGTCTGTTTCATTTTTTATGGTGTTTTAGGTTGCTGTTGTACATTTACACTTGTCTGAATAATGTTGTTACAAAGGTCTTGTGCAAGGTTGGGTTGTTACTTTGGTAATAGAGAACTTAGTATCTATTCTTGTTGTTTTGATAGACCTGTGTTTCTAATTTGCCATCAGCTCCTCTGTTGATGAGGATATACAGGAAGGGTAGTACCTTGTTGTTTTCTTCTTCCCTTGTGATTTTTTATTACTTTGAATATATTATTGTTTCATGTATCTTCTCCAGTTGTTCCTTTTTTATTACAGCAAAAGTATTTCCTACATATCAGACCAGGTCAAGTTGCACTTCATTTAGTGGAACTTCCAGTAATCTTATAAGGTTTTGGACCAGTAACATCTATTGTTACTAAGAAAAAATAAGATGGTGTAATGAAACTGCAAAACTAGTTTGTCAGCCAGCATTTTAAAACCACAAGAGATATATTTAGTCCTATCAAATTAAACTTCTCCACTCTCCGTCTAACTCAGCATCTATACTAAAAGTTCCTATCTTGACTCATAATGAAAAAATTCATCAGGTGTTTTAAGTTACTTCACTTTTCCAATGTTAAACATTAATACATTATTCCTTGAAATATTTAAACTGATATTTAAACTGATGCTTATTGATATTTGCTGTTTACCTAACTCTGTTGCCATATGATAGCTTTTTGCAGCTAAGATATATAACTTGTTTTTCATTAACATTTATTTATTTATTATATAATTATATATACTTATACTTATATAAGTATTTACAGTTATAAAATAGTAAAACTACGAACCCTGAATTTACAATTTACAGTAACTTAAATGTAAAAGTATAAACTACTTTTTCAATTATATCTGATCTCTCATACTTATATAATACGTATAAAGCAAGCTATATGAGAATTAGAAATAAAAATGTAGAATGCACATTTGTGAATATTTTTTTCTAATTTTAAAACATGAAGAAGTCTAGAAATACAGTAATGCAACATTATCAGGTGACAATATCCAAAATTATATTAGCAGAATTGTGTGTCATTTTATTAATTAGTTGCAGAAGGATTCTTTTGTTGCTAATCTCATTATATTAATTTTTTTAAAAACTTTAAAATATAATTTGCACTAACAAAAATTACAGATGAGTTTGAATGCAGAGATCACTATAACTATTTCTAACTAATGTATTGGTTCAAAAGACTACTTTTACTAACTACAGCACTTAAATATCTTTTGACACAATTCATGGGAACAAGAAACAATATGCTGTTATATCTTTGGGGGGATGCTTTCAAAGCCTGCTGCTCTTGAGATCCTGGTTAGGAAGTCTATGAGATAATAGTTTAATAAAAGACAAGACCTTAACAATTTTTTAATAAATAGACTAAATTTTGTTTTACCCAGTCTTTCAAGACTGGTAATTTTTTATGAGTTTAAGACAGCATTTGGAACTTTCTACTAGTACTGAACTCTTTGCACTCTTGCTTCCTTTTTACATACAAAGCTCAACATCTAGGAGAAACTTCCTGACAGTTAGAACAATTAACCAGTGGAACAACCTGCTTCCAGAAGCGGTGAATGCTCCAACACTAGAAGTTTTTAAGAAGAGACTGGACAGCCAAATGGTGTAGGGTTTCCTGCCTGAGCAGGGGGTTGAACTAGATGTGTGTAGTGTGTAGTGGGGTGCCCCAGGGCTCTGTTCTGGGCCCAGTGCTCTTCAACATCTTTATCAACAATTTGGACGAAGGGATAGATGGGGAACTCATCATATTTGCAGACAACACCAAGCTGGCAGGAATAGCCAGAAGACAGGCTTAAGATACAGAAGAATCTGGACAGACTTGAACACTGGGCACTAACTAACAAAATGAAATTCAGTGGTGAAAAAAGTAAGGTTCTACATTTAGGCAAGAAAAACCAAATGCACAAGTACAGCATAGGTGGCACCATGCTCAATAGTAGTAACTGTGAGAGGGACCTTGGAGTCCTAGTAGACAATCACCTAAATATGAGCCAGCAGTGTGCTGCAGCTGCCAAAAAGGCCAACACAGTGCTAGGCTGCATTAACAGAGAGATAGAATCAAGATCACGTGAAGTATTAATACCACTTTACAATGCCTTGGTAAGGCCACACTTGGAATACTGCATCCAGTTTTGGTCACCACGATGTAAAAAAGATGTTGAGACTCTAGAAAGAGTACAGAGAAGAGCAACAAAGATGATTAGGGGACTGGAGGCTAAAACATATAAGGAACGGTTGCTGGAATTGGGTATGTCTAGTTTAATGAAGAGAAGGACAAGGGGGGGACATGATAGCAGTATTCCAATATCTCAGGGGCTGCCATAAAGAAGAGGGAATCAAGCTATTTTCCAAAGCACCTGAAGGCAGGACAAGAAGCAACGGGTGGAAACTAATCAAGGAGAGAAGCAACCTAGAACTAAGGAGAAACTTCCTGACAGTCAGAACAATTAATCAGTGGAACAGCTTGCCTCCAGAAGCAGTAAATGCTCCAACACTGGAAGTTTTTAAGAAGAGACTGGACAGCCATTTGTCCAAAATGGTGTAGGGTTTCTTGCCTGAGCAGGGGGTTGGACTAGATGACCTCCAAGGTCCCTTCCAACTTTACTATTATTATTACTATTATTATTATTATATGACCTCCAAGGTCCCTTCCAACTTTATTATTATTATTATTATCATCATCATCCAGAAATACTTTTAGTTTTTTAAAAAAAACTTATCAGTGTCTATATAGGATTTGCCTAAGTAATTTTTCTGCAACCATACAGAAGTGGTTTAGTTAATGTCTTCTAATAAGGAAATTATTTATTTACCTTGTGATAACTGAAACACGATCAGTTCTTTTATATTTATAAGTTTTCAGTGAGATTCTGTTTAGAGTGATTTCAGATTTAAAGTTTATACCACCAGAATTTACATTCAATTTCCCTTTCACAGCCATATCTTAGATTCCCAAATCCGCACACATACATACCTTAACATAAGTAGCCCTTGCCTTACCACCACATTTGAGTCCAAAATTTCTGTTGCTAAATAAGGCAGTTATTAAGTTAGATGCCTCATTTTTCAACCTTTTTTTGCCAAAGTTGTTAAGCGAATCACTGCAGTTAAGTGAATCATATGGTTGTGAAGAGAATCTAGCTTTCCTCATTAACTTTGCTTGTTGGAAACTGACTGTGAAAGTTACAGATGGTCATCCCATGACCCCAGGACAGTGCACCTGTCGTAAATACATTTCAGTTGCCAAGCAACCAAATTTTAATCACTGACCA